CAACAACAACAACTAGATGATCAGAATACTCTTATTTTGCAATATTATGTTTTTCCAGTAAGAAAAGACACCTTAAGTGCATAGAGATGCTTTTATTAAGACATAAATGACACAAAGACAGAAAATCATTCCTGAACATGAGACATCTAAGAATTGCATATTCTGAGTAGCTATTGCCAATGGCTCCCACCCTCCCTTTTCTCCTTCAGCGTTCTCTTTGTTACTGTACAGGAATCTGACTGATTCTATCTTGCAGCCTGACACGGCTTTTTCAGTCAATGAGATCCAATAATATGCTGGTCAAGACTTTGGGATTTTCTGTTTATGGGGCAAGCAGGGATAGTTTTAGTTCTTCTTTGCCAATTCAGATTATATTTGTTTCCTTTTCTTGTCTTGTTGACTGACTCATTGCCATCAAGTCGGAAACAACTCATAACTGACTCTCCAGCAGGTTTTCAGGGGCTGTAAAGTGGGGAGAAATTGCCCACCTTTCCCGCACAGAGAAACTGGCAGATCCTAACCATATACCTTTGGGTTGGCAATGCAACTCCGTACCAACTAGGCCACCAGAGCTACCTGCTTTATTTGCCTCTTGTTGTTGTTGTTAGGTGTTGTCAAGTAGAGTATGACTCATAGCAATCCTATAAAAAACATGACTAAACCCCATCTTATACTGTACCATCCTAATCATCTCCGATACACCTAAGCCCATTGCCACAGTCACTGTATCAATCCACCTCATTGATGGTCTCTTTTTTCATTGACCTTCCACATTTTGAAACATGATTTACAATATTGAGCAGAGCAACCTAAAGAGCCCTGGTGGCCTAGTGGTAAGAAGCTGCACTGCAATCCCAAAAGCTCATGGTTCAAGTGCACCAGTTGCTCCACCAGAGAAGAATGGGCTGTCTCCTCCCTGGTGATTAACTGCCTCTGAAAACCTTCTGGAGGGTCAGCTATGGGTCGATTCTGACTCGACAGCACACAACAACAACAACAACAACAACAGTGATAAAGGGCATCTTTGTCTGGGTTCTGTTTGCAAAGAAAGGAGCATCAGTCTCTCCCCACATTAATGAGAGTAGTGTTATGCCTAGGAATTCTCCTTCTAATCTTGTTGCCTGTTTTTATTAGGAAAGGTTGTTAAAATTTTTCAAATGCCTTTTCTGCATCAATTGAGATGATTAGGTGATTCTTTTCCTTTGTTTTATATATGTGGTGGGTTATGTTAATTCCCACCGTCCATATATCGAACCACCCATTCCTTGTATGAATCCCACTTGATAATGATAAGTGATATTTTTAAAATATGATGTTGAACTTTCTTGGCTAGGAATTTTCACATCAATGTTCGTGAGAAATCTTGCTCTAAAGTTTTCTTTGTCAATGATGTCTTTTCCCTTACAGAGATTTTAACATAGTCTTCCTGCTGACCTAGTTCCTTGGAGACAAGGATGGTGAACCTCTGTCAAACGTATTTTAGGCATAGTGTAAAGAGAGGTCAGTCCTTGGAGAAGGACATCCTGCTTCGAGAGGTGGAAGGTCAGCATGAGAGAGGAAGACCTTCAATGAGATGGATTGACACAGAGACTGTAACAATGAGTTCAAGTGTGTCAGGGATGGTGAGGATGGCACAGGCTACAGAGCCATTGTTCATCAGGTCACTATGAGTCATAGTTAGCTAGACAGCACACAACAACTACAACAAAGCAGTGAATAAAAATTTGTGCTGTCAACCAAAAGGTGAACAGTTTGAATCTACCAGCTGCTTTAGGGGGGGAATGGGCCATCTTCTCCATGCTTTTTACAGCCTCTGATAACCCACTGGAGAGTCAACGATGGATTCTAACTTTGACAACAATGAGTCAGAGGGTGAGAGTGTGTGACGAGGGAGCGTTTTGGTGGTGTCATGGGCAGGGAGTTGCACTGCTAACCTGTTGGTGGTGCTTCTCTGAGGTTTTGAATCTACCAGTGACTCCAAAGGATAAAATGAGCCCCTTCCTCTTGTGCAAGTTAGAGCCTCAGAAGCCCAGTGGAGGGTCAGCTATGAGTTGGTTTCCACTAGATGACACTGAAAGTTAGTTTTTTTGTGACAAAAACATTCTTTCTTATTTTCTTTAGGATCATTTCAAATTTCAGAAAAATATGAAAGTAGTACCAAACATTTCCATATGCTTTTTACCTCAATTCCCCAAATGTTAACATTTTACCACATTTGTTTTAACATCCCTTCATTTTCTCTATCTTTATATCCTCTTTCCCAGGAATATTTTTAATTGTGCATATGATACTTTATCTTTAGATACTTCAACATACATTTTCTAAAATCAAGGGCATTCTCTTACATAACCAAAGCACAATTCTCAAAACCAAGACATTAACACTACTATACTAACACAATATGGTTATATGTTGTATGTATATCTAGTATGATCAGATCTACAGATCTTATTTCAAGTTTATAAGTTCTCCCACTAAAATGGTTTTTAGTGCTACTTAAAAAATATTCTGCCTTGGCAAAATAATTCTGTCTTTTCAGGAAGACATAGTTGTCTATTTAACATAAGTAAAATGGATCTGAGCCTGTTAACTTTCAAGAAGAGAAAATTAAACTGCTTCTAACTGTGAAGTAAAAAATCTTTCTCCCCTAATCCAAAACCAAACCAAACTCACTGCTATTGATTCAGTTACTACTCATAGTGACCATGCATTAAGTTTCTGAAGTTACAAACCTTAATAGAAGCAAAGAGCCTCTTATTTATCCCCAAGAACCATTGAGGGGTTGAACTGCCAATCTTTCAATTAGCAGCCCAACATTTACCTACTATGCTACTAGAACTCCTTTCCTTCCCTGAAAGATATAAAAAAAACCTGAAAGTTCACCCTGTTCCCCAAAGCCTGTGTCATCAGAGAAGATTCTGGATTCTTTTCTATATGACATTCTATTTTTACCTCAGTTCCTTTTATTTTTACCTCAATTCCTCTTCAAGCTGAGGGAATTTGTATAAAAATATTCTGTTATCTGTATCATCTCCTTTTGGCACATAATAAAAAAATACTTTCCTATTTCTATTTTATGGAGTTCTGGTGGTCTAATGGGCAGGGAGTTGTGCTGTCAAGCCACCAGTTGCTTTAGAAAAGAAAGATGGCCAGTATTTTCCTGTACAATTTGTAGTCTCTGAAAACCTGCTGGAGGGTCAGATATGACTTGGTTCTGACTTGATGGCAATGAGTTTTTGTATCTCTATTTTAAAGTAAAAGAAGATGCACAGGGATTTTAGGGTGTACAGGTTTCTAAAAGCAGGTTAATTTTTCACAATGCAAGAAAAGTCAGGATCACCAAATGTCATTACCAAGGCCTGGAACTATTTATTTTTTATTTTATTTTATTAATTTTAATGAACATTTACAAAGATTTTGGATTTCTATTCATTAATTGTTGCCATTTTCTCCCTGCCCACCCCTCCCCTCGGGTCTGTTTATTGCTCTATGCTATTAAAAACACAAAAGCAAAAGAAAAGAAAAACACACACAAAAACCCAAAACACCAGCCATTGAGTTGGGACAAACTCCTGACTGACCCTCCTACATGTTTTCTGAGGCTGTAAATCATACCAGAGGAGATTTCCCATCTTTCCTGAGGAGCAGCTGGTGGGTTTCAACTAGCAAAGAGACTCAGCCTTTTAGGTTTACAGTGAAACTACTTCCTACAGGCTATTTCACCAGATGGCTCTGTTATAAAGGAGTAGTTAAAGATCAAAGGGATATAGCTATATATAGATATATGTGTGTGAGGTATATATATATATGTGTGTGTGTGTGTGTGTATAGATAGATAGAGAGAGAGAGGTGGAGAGAGGGAGAGAGAAGAGGAGAGGGGAGGGGAGGGGAGAGGAGGAGGGGAGAAAAGAGAAGACAGAGAGAGAGAGAGGGATATCACAAAAATAACACAAAGCAATACTGTAGTCAAAGTCTTGTTGACTTCAGAGAAGAACTGGGGGAGACAGAGGTTGGCGGGAGACTTATAATAAACCCCCTTTTCCTATTGTCTGATGTAACCTTCTTTATATATATATATATATGTATATGCTCTGTTTTTAAATGAAGAGTTAAGTCAGATGATTGACAGACAGATAGAATGAAGACGTTATAAAGACCAAAGCTTGAAGGAACAGAATGTCCTATACTTCCCCCGCTACACTTTTAATTTTGAAGACTACCCCTTTATTTTTGTTTTCCCGACCATTTAGTGCCCTTTCCTTAAATTTGCTGCCCTCCACGAGCTTCTCCAAGGCTGTAAATCTTTAATGGAGGGAACTGCCCAGCTTTCTGCTGGAGCATTTGGATTCGAACAAGTGACCTTTTCACTGACAGTGCAGCACATACCGCAGTACGCCATCAGAGCTCCTCTCTAGCAAGTCTTTCCCGTGCTAGATATAGAGACAGAAAACAGGCTTAGTCATGCACGCTTTCACCAGAGCTACACACATATGCAGAGAGCCTTGAACACAGTTGTTTTATTTGGAGGCTTGGGAGAAGAGAGATGCGAAGCAAGCTCAGGCAGCTAAGCTGGACCCCTCCTCACTCCCACCCTGTCTCCTCCCCTCACCCTTGGTGTGTGATGCTGTGTGGACATCTGCCTCCCTTCGCTCTTCCCACTCCCTCGCCTGCCTTCCTCCCCACCCCCGCTCCAGATCCAGAGGACCCAGGCGACTGGGCTGGCGCAAATCTCCGCCACCTCGCGCCTCCGCCCTCGGGGCCTCCTCGTGACGTCAGAAGAGAGCGGGGGGGCCCCCGCCCCCCCGGCTGCCCGCTCCTCTCGGCCCCGCAGCCCCCACCTGCGCTTTAAAAGAGCAGGGTCTGCGCCAAACGCACCACACCGCGGAGACCACGACGCGCGGCGTGCTGCCTGGACCATCTCCATCTCACCTGCCTCCTGAGCCTCTCCCCACCTGTGCGGCCGCCACCCCGTCCCGGTGCAGGTGCTGGACAGCCGGGCCATGCAGCCGGCCGTGCTCCTCGGCGTCCTGGGAGCCGCGCTGGTGGGTAAGTGGGCGCGGCGGGCGGCTCAGCACCGCGGGCCTTTCAGCACCGTGCGCCCGTTCAGCACCGCGGACAGCGCCAGGCTCGTCTGCCTTAACAAGCTGACCCTGGAAAGGAGCGAACATTTGGTGCGAGAGGGGTTTCCCCTCTTCCTAAGAGTTCTTCATTTTGACTCTTTTCCTAGCTATTCCCTTAAACTCGCTTCCTCTCTCCACCATCTGACCCAGGAAAAGCCAAAGGGCTTCTTAGTCCAGCTAGCACAGTCTCAGTCCCTGTCTGAATTTTCTAGAGAAGAGAACATGCCCCCACCTACCTCCAAGAAAAGTCCACATTTTGTGCTGACTTCTAAGATGCCATCCTTTCTCTACGGTGTAGAGAAAAGCCTGTACCGGGTATTTCTATGTCTTTAATCGAGGATTTGTTTGATTCTTCAGGATCCGATGACTACAGAGAAGCAGGAATGTGTATATTATTAATAGTAGTAGGCTGACATTTGCATAATTTATTATTGCTATCATTATATAAACATGATGAGATAAAATTAGTAAGCCAAGTATGCATATGAGATATATACTATTTATAAACATGATCATACATAGTGTTTGTGTGTACTAGTGTAATAAACTGCTTTTCTGTTATTTTGCATTTTCATCTCTGGAGAGAAGTGATTTTAAACTCTAAGTTAGTGTTTTAGTTATGAATGGACTCAGCACTAGATATTTTGACATTCATAGCTCATGGAAATATCTAGGATAGAAAAAAAAGCTACAAAATAATCTATGGAGTGGTAAAACAAATTTTCAGTCTATTTGAAAAATATACTTTTAAGTAATAAATATTTGATTCTTGTGTGTGGCAGACTGTGGAATTAATCTTTCAGAATTTTTTAGCTTCATAAATACTCATTTGTTGAAGAGTGTGTATCTGTGTGTTTAAAAGATTATAGTCAGATTATAGTCACTATGGGTATTGAGACTATTGTAGTATGTCATATTATAGACTATTGAGAAGTGAATATACTACCAAGAAAACTGGATGCTTTTCTTTGACTATTTTTTTTTCTTTGACTATTTTTATGACCTCATAGAAAATTTTTCCATCTGAGATGACAGCTGAAGCATTGTCATCCATAAATATAAAGCTTTCGTTGACAGTAATTTCTAGATTGAAATGGTAAAGACATAAAATGAAAACAGTGGTCATTTATTTTATTGCAAGCTGCACACTTCAGAAATTTCCAAAATTCTCATTCTTGAAAATTGCCTATAAATAGTCTAATGTTAAATAAAGAAAATCAGATTACTAGTTTAAGAGTTCTTCATGGTTAAAAAGCTTTTTCAGAAAGAAAGAACTTGAAAGATTAAATCCATGCTATACATTATATTATTAGATCAGGAAATTAGTGGCATCTGTAGGGATTCTTTAACTCTGCTGGTAAAATACTTATGATCTCTTATTCAAGAGAATATTATAATAAAGCTTAATATTTTTATAGCAGCCATTTAAAATCATATTAACATTTTAACATAATTTTATTATTTTCAAAATAAAGATGCAACTTATACACTCCAAAGTCATTCTCTTAAAATGTATGTGTCTCTTGATTAAAGGGTCTCTGTTAAAAAAATAAATTAACTAAGTCAGCGATTTTCAGTATATTCACACCTTGTGTAAACATCACCACTATCAAGGTTCAGAACCTTTTAGCGGCCCCTATCCCTTAGTTGTCATTCTTCTTTCCCCAGTCTCTGGAATTAAGACGTAATATTCTTCAAGCAGAGTTTGTTATTTAGCAAAATCACAGGACTGAGAGAAACATCAGGAAATTTTCTGGCTTATTTCCTCCTTTATGAGCCTCTAGAGGGAGAGCCACCACTTCACTGTAGCTGTTGTGTATTCTAAATGTCACTGTGAGTGAAGTAACCACACACTCTTCATATTAAACCTAGTAGGATGGTATCTGCATCCACAAGAGCTTACTTATTTTATAAAAAATATTTTCAATCTGGTATTAAACTTTGCTTCTTGTCAGCTAAAATGTTGTAGAAGGTATGCTTAGATTTATCTTAAGATATTATTTATAAGTCATTCTTTTAAAATAGACCCTAGATTTTCTTTTGTGCCTCTTGAAACTTACATAAAAATAAGATAAACTAATTTAATCATAACCAACATGCCTTTAGCCATTACTGTGCTGTCATACATTGTATTAGAAATACATAGATGTCTCCAAAATGTATAATATACTTTAATAAATGAGCCAAATCTCTTTCCATAAAAATAAAAGATGTGAAGCATCTCAGTCTGGAAACCATACTGCTCTATAACAATGAACATGAACTGCAGTTTGTAAGAAGACTATTTCCCTCCCCAAATCTCTGATGATTTGGGAACAATTAAAATAGATCCTAGCTTCTGCTCTGAAAAGAAAATGCTATGAGTAAGTGAAATAGGTGTTGTATTTCTAGATTGAGTCCTGTGAGAGTAATTAACAGTGGGGATGGGGAGGAGAGAGGCAGGCTTGGAGAGCAAGCATTTTGGGAGGAAAGATCAGGTGGCTGGGCATAAATAACCTGCATTTGAGTAGCTTCCGTCTCTGACATCTGAGGACTTTGCTCTTTCCCCAGCTAGCTCTTCTCTTGTATCAGGGACCAACAATACTTTTCTGCATTGAGCCTCTTTGGCTGTAATCACTACTGTCTACCCTAGAGAATGCCAGGAGCACAGTGGAGATGTGCTTACATATAAATGCTTTGAGCTTCCCTAGTGGAAAAGGCTTACACCGAAAAAAGTAAAAATGGGAAAAGAATCAAAGCAGCTCAGAAAAATGGGGAAAGAAGGTGCACTGGGAAAATGTAAATCTCTGGAAGTATTTCCAAAGAAGACAAAACACACTTTGATACTCACTGCAAATAGGCAGAATCTCATGAAATTTAAATAAATGTAAAAATCCTTTAAACTAGGTCATCACAAATTCGCTGCTAAATGCTTATTTTCTTGTGGTATTATGAAACTTAATGCTGCACTAGGAGAATTAGAGACCACTTTGGTCTTTGCATGGATTCAGACAACATGGAGTAAGAGAATTAACATTTGTACAGATTCATAAACAAGCTCATTCAGGCAGTCTTGAGGCTGAAAAAGGAGGTGATTAATTAGGTAAGATCACTCTAATCATGTTTTTGTAGAGGAAGTGGATTGTAGGGGAGGATCATTTCTTGGGGAGAGTGTTAGGTAGTAAAAGTCACAGATCTTTGTCCATGCTGGATGGACAGAAGTGTCACAGAGGACACGCTGGCTGTTTCAGACTTGGTTTATTTCAGGGATTATTGAAAATAGCATAGATTATACATGAAATTTTCACACACTAAACACACCTGTGAAACCGGGATTCAAGAGAAGAAACAGAATGTCACCGTTTCCCCAGATGTCCTCTTTGTCTGCAGTAGATTTAATTTTTATTGGACTGAAGATAGCTTTCATTTCCAAATTATTTTTAAAACATTGCTAGGGAGAAACATCTGTATGCCCCTCTGTATGGCAATCAGTCAAATGTTTTCCCAACTCTTCACTGACGTTCAGCAGCCTATGTATAGCTACAACAGACTATTTTTAGAGTTGTTCCGGCAGCATTTGTTTCCTCAGCCCATTTTAGCCTGCTTTCTCCTCTCTTAATATAACATGTCATTCTCTAGTTGGAGCTTAAATTTACATTTAAATAGTCTTTACATCATTAATTAGACTATCCAGTAGCTATTTTCCATCCATGGAACCAATCGTCTTTTGCAAATTCCACTAGCTTCTTTGTTAATCAAACCCCACAAGTTACAAAGTCTATCCTCAAATTATTCATTAAAAGTTAAACTGAAGGAATAAAGATTCCATTCTGTTCCCTCTTTAATGTAAATTACCTCCAATATTTCATATTGGAAATCCAATTCTAGGTGGCCTGGATAATGTTTAAATATTTTTATTTACCAGTAAATTTAGTATTTGCTTTCTTTTGCTTCAGATACCCCAACTATGTTTTGCCTAATTATTGCTTATTATGCATCAGTTTAATGTAATAGTAATCAGGGTAGGGCAAGGTTCAGAGCCATTGTTCATAGGGTTGCTATGAGTCATTGGTCAACTCGATGGCATGTAATAACAACAATCAGAATGATCTAATTTTTAAAATAAATATTTCATAAGGAACATTCACATCTTTCCAAAATACTTAAGATCTTCTCCTAAGTCTGACAGTATTTACATCAGGTCATTGTGGTGGTGTTGTTGTTGTTGTGGTTATGTGCTGTCTGGTCGTTTGTAACTCATAGCGACCCTATGTACAACAGCCCTAAACTCTGCTCTGTCCTGTGCCAATCACACCGTCTCCGACACACCCATCCCGATTACCCCAGTCACTGAATCAATCCACCTCATAGAGGGCCTTCCCTCCTGCGCTGTCCCTCCACCCTACCAAACATGATGTCCCTCTCCAAGGACCGGTCCCTCCTTACAACATGTCCAAGGTATGTTAGACGGAGCCTCAGAATCCTTGCCTCCAGGGCGCTGCCCGGTTTAACCCTTTCCAGGATGAATCTGATATAACACTCATTTACCTAATTACTTAATTTCTCTAAGATCTGAAAATACTGTCTTCATTGTATAAAGTTGTGAGCCAGGTGACTTTGTTATTGGTAGGTGCCATTGAGCTGTGACTCATAGTGACCCTATGAATCACAGATCTGAACCTTGGCTTGTCCTGCTCCATCCTGACGGTCACTCTCTTCTCAAGCCCATTGTGGTAGTCACTGTGTTGGTCATTGAGGGTCATTAAGGGTCTTCCTCTTTCACTGATTCTTACTTTCTTAGCATGATCGATCTCCCTCAAAGGACTGATTCCTCCTGAAAATATACCCAAAGTGACTGAGATGAAGTTTCGCCATTCTTGTCTCTAGGGAGAGCTCTGGTTGCACGTCCATGGGACAGATTTGTTTATTCTTTTCGCAGTCCAGGGATAGTCAATACTCTTTGAGAACACCACAATTCAAAGACATCAGTTGTTCTTTGATCTTCCTTATTCATTACCCAACTTTCAGGTGACTTCAAATAGTTATAATGCTGATTCTGTTGCAGGGATACATATCTTTAAGTATCCATGAAAAAAATATATATAATGTTAGAAATATAAACACAGTCT